ATTATTATACTCTTATATAATATTATGAATTCCAGAGGGTACACTCTGATTTTTGAAGGATATTTTAGCCATGAGAGAGAGAGAATGGTGAAGAGTAATAAACAAGATCTCATTCCTAAATATCTTTGAAAAAACAATAATATTTAAATTATTTCACAGTGTGATTAATATAAGTAAAAATCGTGGTTCAATTTCTTTTAAATATAAAAGTATCGAGTGATCTATATCAGTTTGTAATCAGCCCAATGTTACCTGGTTTGATCGACTTTTCATTCGACTATTAATGAATTATTGTCTACATGTTTCAGTATACTTCGCGATAAATCGTGAGGTGCACACATTACTCGATTGATAATTTATTATCCCGATATATATCATACTCGCATTGTTGTATACATGAATTCAAATTAGTAATAGTGTGTATGATGGACAGAATATATATCAATGGATTTACGATATCAAAAAAGCGTTTCCAGTTTCATGCGATCATATCGGTATGAGATCATTGTGACCTGAGACAATTATGAAAAGTGCGTGCACACACGAGTTTCTTCCTTCTCGCTTGTCGTTGTATTCACGTGATGATATATTTTAGGAACTCGCCGTGTCACGCTTGCGTGGTAACGAATACAAAAAGACAGATAAAATTATGAACAAAGATTTATTGTATATGAAGCTACTGTGATGTTACTGTTGAATATAAAAAAATATATCTATATATATATCTATATACATACATATATACATACACACATAAAAGATGCTGTATTTAAAAAGTCGTGTCTCTAAAGAGTGTTTTCTTTTATCTTCTCGCTCACCGAAACAAAGTCTGTCGCGAATCTGTGTGTGTGTGTGAGTGAAAGTGAAATTGTAATTTATATTCATACGAGCAAACTATTTTTTAAAGACGATAACGTGACTGATCTATTATGTAATATAGGCAATAAAAATGTATTGTGCTAGAAATTCTCTATACGTAAAACTCCTCTCGAATTAGTACGTAATGGAATGTAAATACCCGTGTAAAATAAGAATTTTTCTTTTCTTTTTTATTTGAAAAAGTAAGATATATATACATAAATTTTATAAATTTCACAGTATGAACTCTTAATTTTTTCCAGTTAACCGAGTTAAATTAACTTGAATTTATATTGAATCTACATAAAACTTTAATTAATTTTATTAACTTTATTAATCATAAAATAAAAATGTTGGTCGTTATTACAATGCAGTAAACAATAGTTTTATTAATAATTAAAAATATATTTATTAATAAAATGTTATATGTAAACGCGAGAAACTCTCGGTATACTTTTTACGAGAATATTTTTCTTATTAAAAAATATATACGATAAATTAGATAGATATATTGAAATATCATCTAAATCACGTATTCAGTATAAGATGTTCTAAATAGAATTAAAAAAAAGAATTAATAAATTGAAAAGCTGAAATTTATTTATTTTTTTTTTTTTTTTAGTGGTAACTATATATAACTCTTCTTTCTGTTATAAAGGAAAAACATGATTATCTACATCAAGGGGCGCTCCTCACCTATAAATTTGTAATACACAAACATCGACTATATAAGCTATAAAAATTCGATATTTGGATTGTGGTAAAACTACAAATGAAAAATAAATCCCGCGGACGGCATTCAGTAAAATATTAGGAATTTAGTAAATTATTTACATTCTCGATTTTAATGATACAATCAATAATGATGGTGATAGCTAAAAATCGTTTTTGAAATAAGATTGCTTGCGTATCGTGTAGATACTCGTACACACAAATACACAATATACATTTTTGATGAGTACTCGTTTTTATAGTACTTGTTTTATAATACTCGTTATTATCTAATTACCTCAACTATATCGCGGGAAAATGTACAATATATAAATAACAATGTGAAAAGATGTGTACATATTTATACAATATTTATACACAATGGGTATGATGCATATGTCTACATTTTGTCTTCTTGTATACTAAAAAACGGATTATAAACAGCACTCTGAGTATTGAGCCTATACAAATATTTCTCTATAAAATTTGAATGCGCTTGAGCTATTGAGAAATTGTAAGTATGTTATAAAATCACATTTATTTACAATACTACACAAGATTGATAGATTTTCTATACAAATCGATCATGGCATAGCAATAACAATCGTTTTTACGCACCTTTAAAAAAATTCTAACCACCATATTAAAACATTGCGTTTGGTTCTAAGATATATATCATTACATTAATATTTTTTACCCCGCAATCACTCGCGTTGTATGATCTTAATTCTCTACAACCGAAATTTGCATACGTCGACGAGTTTCTACATAGCAACGCGATAAGCGTACACAATGCCAAATACAGTCTTATAAAACGCTAGACCATTGAGAGGTCAAAGATTAATTTATATATGTATATATATATGTACAACTTTTGTATATTCATCAACTGTAATTACTTCTGGAAATCTCCTGAAAAATAATTTCAAAACAAATCAGCATCATCTTATTGTCAATTCAGGGTTTTTTTCACCATTTAGCCCTAACACTCCAGTCTTTCGGTGTCCAATGTAGACATTTAGGATCTATCCTAATCTGTCTCTTTTCCATCGCAGTTGTATGTTGTTCAATAATTTCCCTGCAAATAAACATATACCTCAAGATGAAGATCTCGTCAAATTAGGTAAATTGTAGCTAATTTCCTTTCATCTTGGTAATGAATTACCTATTTAGTGTCACAATATATTGTCCTTTGTAGTAATTAATGAGATTCAGATTTTGCAAAGTCGATATCACGTCCTCCTTTTTAATCGACGTAATCTCGGAAATTTCGTTTATTGTTATCTGTGGTTTCTCATTCTCCACCACAGGCTTTAAATTTAACAGGATATCGAGTATTGTGTGCGCCCAGTAACTTCGGTACGAAAGCAAACCTAAATCGGACAATGGCTTTTCGGGAGAGCCGGTCTTTCCTTCGAATTTCGATAGCTCATACGAAAATTCTATCAAGAGCTTGCCGTAACCTCTTCTCTGGTATGGTGGCAGTGTTAGAATACATGCTACATTGTGATCTTCTGTCGATCCCTTCTCCTTGGAGAAATAGCCAACTATATGAAATCCTCTGCTGTCAAATTCAGTCATTACATAAAATAAAAAGGGATCTGTGTCATAGTAGAGAGTTTTATGGTCCAGGAATAGTTTTGCTAGCAAACAAAGGTTTTGTGCATAATTCTTATTCTTGCGGCCATCAATCTCGAAAAATGATATAGATCCTTTCCTGTATATCTCATTTCCGGGTGGATGACGTAGATTACATTTAACTAAATGTCTCTCCAAGCATTTTCGATTCTTCCTATATTTCAGGCAGAACTCGCAGATATATATACAATTTAAATTTACCATCTCCTGTGGATATGGGCTAAAGTACCATGGTTTTATCCTATGACGGCCTAGTTCAATTAATTCTACGTTTTTCATTCTCGTGACTACATCGTCATTCTGATGCGCTACTAGGGAGCCAGTAGGTCTGGGACCTGGCGTATTTGCGGCGGCTTGTGGCGGACCATCCTGAGAATCTTCATTTTCTAGAAATGTCGCCTTTCTTTTTCTAGACATTTTTTTTTGTAGCGCAGCTTGTAGCACAGCATTACCATTAACTGGTTCAATGATAATACTACTGGGACTAGGAGGTCTACTAGGAACCTGCTTTTTTGGTGTTGCTGCATCAGTTCCTGGTGTCGTTCCTTCACGACGAGGATATTGGACTTTCCTAGTGTCCAAACAATCCTCCATAACCCATTCATCTAATCGTTTGTTGACTAAAATAGCACAATTACGATAATAATATCACTTAGGATTTTCATACTCAAATGCTCTAAGTTATTTACTTACAATCCACATAATGAACATAATAACATTTGACACCTTGTACGTCTTTGACACTGATGATTTCGGCAAGAGCTACAGATAGAATAATCCGCTTAAATTATTTTATTATTAAAATATTATATATTTTAAAAATAATATATTGCATATAATTTGCTATCTTAGCTATTACAAAATTTATTACAAACAAATTGCATTATTTAAATACAATAAATTCTTAAACTTAAATGTTACATATAAAATAGAATCAATTTTATGAGAAATATATATGTATATATATAGATAAAGATTGTGTTATCATAAAAAGTAATACAAATCAAAGCAAATAATTCTATAATCAAAACATTTTTTTAATTTTTATACAATCTATTAACATTTTGCAATAAATCTTTGTATTTATATATTTTGTCCTACAACTTAATGATAGTTTACAACCAATCTCAAGGTAGATTACAGTTCAGTCTTTTAAACAGTCCTTTAAACAAAAACAAAAAAAAAAAAAGAAAGAATTCCATCTTTTTATCAAACCTTTTTTCAAAACGTTTGTTAGAGCACTAACGAAACAATTTGTATGTAATTTACTTACGCCAATCGTCCGTAGTAAACATCCTAACTGGTAAACGACAGCCTTCAACCAGTGAATTCTAAAAGTAAGGTTAGAATATTATCATATTTATATATTCGTGGTTTGTGTGTTTTTCCAAATAATTCGACAGCATCCTCGTATTCAATGTATTACACCACCTACCACTGAATCGCATATCGTTTCTTGTTCGTCGTGTTCCTCGATCATTTCAATCAGAAATTCGACAAACTAATCACCAAACGAAATTTTGTTTTGAAGCTTTAGATTTTAGACCACAGGCGACGTATTATTAAAGATGGCCAATCGCCAATCCTTCCGAGAACCGAGAGTAGTGAGAT